GAACTTATATTAGAGGAAGAGGTGGAAGAACGGCTTTTAGATTTAGGGAGAGTGGAAATAGCAAATTGGGAATCGAGGGCTTGAGGAATTGAAGTAGACATTGTGAAAGTTGTTTTCCAGAAATCTTAAAACAATCAATCATAAACAGAGATTCTATTAACCATTACGCAAGTCTGGGCATTAGGCTCTGATACCATTTATGCAGCATTTACTTGGTATAAGTCTGGGCATTCACTTCGGCATTTACTTGGTATATGATCCTTATAAAACAGTACCTCCCACTTCGATCGATCAAAATTGACGTTAAGTTTTTGTTTTTCTGTTTACATGTTTATACTTCTACCGTTATCATAAGAAAAAAGATATTGAAATTGTTTCTCGAGAAGAATATAATAAACTTTAACTTATTGGGAATAGTAATGAAGTCCTAAAATGTGGGTTAAGATTAAGATCGAAGATAAGACAAGTTGCTCAGATTTTTTTTATAAACCATGGGGTGATAACATTCTGTGGCATTTGTTTTGATGCAAGGAAGATTCGGAGCTTCCGCAATGGGTGGGAAGGACAACTGTGATTGTCCTCTTTGAAAATTAATTCAAATTTTTGTCTTAACACTACAAGACAGACAAAGTATAATGTAAAAAGAATACACTTGCAAATTTGAAAAGTTGATACCATTTATTTAATTTTTTTTTTGGAACTCTACCATTTATTTAATTATATATGTTTTTTTGTGAATATATGTTAAACTATGCTATTCTTACTCTACAACCTTGATCGAAAGGGAATTATAATATATTTTTCTTTTCATTTTTATTTTTTGTTAACCAGAAGATTTTTTTTTCCAATATCTTTTTAAGATCATGTGAAGAAAAAAACACAACTATTTCAGTCTTGAACTGAACCAAAGCTTTGTCTGCCGACACATTGTTACATTTGCATAAAAGACTACTACTACATTTTGACCCAAAAAGACTACTACTATATTAGCATTTTAAAAGTTTGAATAATTTGTATATAAATCATTTTATCGAATTTGCCGGTTTCGCTCCTCCTGGTACCTTCCTTTACTTTCTTCCATATAAACCTCTATTTTTCTCATCTTCCTTCACCAACCCACTCTCTCTATCTCTACATTTAAAAAGGATCAAACCTTTTCATGAACAGATCCAAGAAATTAAATTTAACATAGTCCGAGAAGGACCCACTTCTCATTCTTTTAAGTCATTTTGATTGAAAGGGATCAAACTTTGTTCCATAATTTCACAACAGACATATATATAACTAATGGGTTTTTCTACATCCACCATTTCATTTCTTCTTGTTCTTGGGTTGGTTCAGTTTCCAGTTTCAGGGCACGACTATAAACAAGCTCTGAGCAAGAGCATTCTCTTCTTTGAAGCTCAGAGATCAGGACACCTCCCTCCAAACCAGAGAGTTTCATGGCGATCTCACTCCGGTCTTAACGACGGCAAATCCAGCGGCGTAAGTTCCCTTTTTATTTAAAACACAGAAACTCGTATAATGCTAAGTTGCTAACTCATGCTAACTAATGCTACCAGTATTTTTTTTAAACTCGATATGCATCAATCGTCATTTAGAAAAAAAAGAACTTACTGCCAGATCAATTAAACTCGTTTCATTGGATTTGTTTTCCATTTTTATATACATCTCGGCACCTAGATCCAAACAAAACGGTTGACTTTCCCTTGACCAATTTTAAAAACCTATAATCAAATGGAAGTGTGTCGATGGGTTTGGCTACCTAACCGTTGTAAGAAGCCGACTCTTAAAACACTGACAAATGCTACAACAATGTTCTCCTAAATAGATAAACTGAAAAAAAAAAATATTTAACTGAGCAGGTGGATTTAGTGGGAGGATATTATGACGCCGGAGACAATGTGAAATTTGGGCTTCCAATGGCTTTCACGGTGACGACAATGTGTTGGAGCATCATCGAATACGGTGGCCAGCTTGAATCTAACGGTGAACTTGGCAATGCTATTGACGCCGTTAAGTGGGGAACTGATTATTTCATTAAAGCTCACCCTGAACCTAACGTCCTCTACGGAGAGGTAACAATAACATTACACATTTTCATTAAATATTTATCTATATAATTTAAATTTGGTCTTGATGATATTTGTAACTGTGTAGGTGGGAGATGGTAAGTCGGATCATTACTGTTGGCAAAGGCCAGAGGAAATGACCACTGACCGTAGGGCGTACAAGATTGACCGGAACAATCCTGGTTCTGATCTCGCCGGAGAGACCGCTGCCGCAATGGCTGCCGCTTCCATCGTTTTCCGTCGCTCTGATCCATCTTACTCTGCCGAGCTACTCCGTCACGCTCGTGAGGTGAACCTTTCACATTAATCACTAACGGCAAAGACCGAAATTTAACAAGAAACGAATTTTTAAAACCCGGTTTAGTGATATGGAGTTCGGTTAAGCACATGCTTGAGTTTGCGTCTATAATGTACAAAGACTTAAGTGTTAGATACTTGATTTCAGTGAAGTACTTACTATGAAAAAAATAAAACAAGTTTTGAAAATTTCATGTGCAAGAAACATAGGTCGTAAATATAACCTCTCAATAAAGGTTATTTACGATATTGCCACTGAATGCAACACTACTCTTATCTTATGTTGGCAGCTATTTGAATTTGCGGACAAATATAGGGGAAAGTACGACAGCAGCATCACGGTGGCACAGAAGTACTATGGCTCAGTCAGCGGTTACAATGTACAAAACGCTGCGTTTATATCTAAATAACACTCCTTGATTTAAAAAAAAAAAAAAAAAAAAAAAACTCCTTGATTTTATAACTTTTTACAAATTTTGTATTTAACCAGGATGAATTACTGTGGGCTGCTGCGTGGTTATACCAAGCAACAAATGATAAATATTATTTGGACTACCTCGGCAAGAACGGCGACTCAATGGGCGGTACGGGCTGGTCGATGAGGGAGTTTGGTTGGGATGTTAAATACGCCGGTGTCCAGACCCTTGTTGCTAAGGTAGTCATTTGAATTCAACTGGTTTGATTTGGTTTACTTAATGCGCTGTTACTAAACCGGAAATTTGCTTTGGTTTTTAGATTTTAATGCAAGGGAAAGCTGGAGAACACACAGCTGTGTTCGAGAGGTACCAAGAGAAAGCAGAACAGTTTATGTGTTCAATGTTAGGTAAAAGTACAAAGAACATTCAGAAAACTCCCGACGGTTTGATTTTCCGGCAACGGTGGAACAACATGCAGTTTGTCACTAGTGCTTCTTTCTTGGCCGCCGTTTACTCTGATTATCTCTCTTCCTCCAAAAAAAATCTCCGTTGTTCTCAAGGAAACATATCGCCATCCCAACTTCTTGGTTTCTCTAAATCACAGGTTTGCCCCAATAAGTTTTCTTATTTGCTCATTCACCCCAATTTGGAACCAAAACAGTACTAAAATGAAGTCGAAAATATCAGGTGGATTACATCCTCGGAGACAACCCTCGAGGGACGAGCTACATGGTAGGATACGGACATAACTATCCTCGGCAAGTTCATCATCGTGGTTCGTCTATTGTCTCCTTTAAAGTCGATCAAAAGTTCGTGACTTGCCGTGGTGGTTACGCCACGTGGTACAGCCGAAAAGCAAGCGACCCAAACGTCTTAACCGGAGCCCTCGTGGGTGGACCAGACGCCTACGACAATTTCGCTGACAACCGGGACAATTACGAGCAAACCGAACCGACAACTTACAACAATGCACCTCTTCTTGGTGTATTAGCACGGTTGATTTCCGGTCCGACCGGTTTTGACCAGCTACTTCCTGGTAAGCTTTAACGTTTAACAGTCTGCATTAGTTAGTTAATAGTAACTTTTTATCTGTTACATGTGATGCTCTAACTTCTCAATTTTGAATCAATTTAATCAACCGGTCATTACTAACCGGGTTTTTATTTCAGGTGTTAGTCCGACTCCAAGTTCGGTTATCATAAGACCAGCACCGGTACCAAAAAGGAAACCGTCAACACCTCCTGGTTTGACATCTTTATATTTCTTAGACCAACTCATTGTGAAAAAGTCAGTTCAATCCGATTTAAGAACTTAACCATTTTTGTTTCTTGTTTAGCAGCTTCTTCTCCTAGTCCCATTACCATATCCCAGAAGATGACGAGCTCATGGAAGAACGAAGGAAAGGTTTATTACCGATACTCAACAAAACTAACCAATAGATCTACAAAAACATTAAAAAATCTGAAGATATCAATCACCAAGCTCTATGGTCCAATTTGGGGTGTTACGAAAACCGGAAACTCATATGGTTTTCCTTCATGGATGAAATCTTTACCGGCAGGAAAAAGCATGGAATTTGTCTATATCCACTCAGCCACTCCGGCAAATGTTTTGGTTTCGAAATATTCTTTGGAGTGAGTAGAAAGTGCGAGTGTGAATCCCGGTTTACTAGCTTGTAAACTTGTTCACCTAATTTTAAAAATATTCGGTTTAGCTATACCGAGATTACTTAGATCTTTGAGAGGATGAGAAAAGACTAATTCTCTAGTTTGTACACAGTGAGATTTGAGACTAGGAAACTAGGGCTACTATGTTTCTTGTAATGGAAGAAATTGTTTTTTCTCTTTTTAGTTTATTTTATTTAAGCTCCTTTAAATTATCATATATACTCCTTCCGTTTCACAAAACGTGTCATTTGACAATTTTACACAAATTAAGAAAGTTATTGAAATTCTTTTTATTTTTATAATTATACATATTCAGTCCATAAATTTTTTAGAAACTAAAATTATTTATAAAATCAATGCATTTTAATATTTAGTTCAAAATTGTATTGAAATTCCAAAATGACACTTTTTATTTAATAAGAAGAAATGTTAAAATGATAATTATTTAGAAATTATATTATAAGTAGCATGATGCTATGGACCAATCCGACTGATCCAATTGGTCCAAAATTTTTATGTTTTTCTTTAGACTATAGTTTTGTGATTGGTCCTATCATATTGGGGATCAAAGTCTACTCACGGTTTGTAGTCTTTACTTTCAGCTGGATCCTTTAACCATATACACGGGTTGAAGCGGTCTATGTTGCGGATTCACTATAATATGGTTCTTGCAAACCACTGTAAAGCACGTGGAATCAGGTTCCTACAGTCTAGTGTTAGGGTCAAGTTGAAATTTTGATGCACCAAAGATAGTTTTGTTGGGCTGGCTCACCCATGAGACTAGTTGATATGAATCAGACCAAGACTCAAGATGAGGAAGGCTTACTTGTATCTGAAGGCCCAATGACAAATGCTAGAGTCCAAAGGTTCAAAGAGACTTTACTTGAAAACGTCTAACATTTAGAAAAATAAAGAAGTGAAGAAACTTTGGTCCAAAAAGATTTGATGGTTACTTGTCTCCCGGCCAGTCCAAAATGTGAGGTTTGGTCAAAGCCCATCAGGCGTGTTCAACTTGGGCCGGTTTTGGACAAGTTACGCGCGGACAACTTATGGGCTATTCATTAAAGCCCATTAGGTTAAGTGTTGAAAATACAAGGAAGAAGAGATCACAACATGGATCTCTAAGCACAAGTCAAGCGTCTTGGAGACTGAAACCTCAAGCCTCAGAGGAGTACTTCCATGGCATCTCTTAGAGAGATAGAGTAAGTTAGAGATCAATAAGTATTTTAGTCTTAACTCTTAGCCATATAACTCTTGTATTATCTCTTGTATACTTTCTAGGGTTTGTATACCCAGAACAGAGAGAGTTATGATCTTGTAAACCACATCGAGGTGTTTTCCAATACTTCATAGTGGATGTCGTGGATCTCTAAATCCACCCCAGAGGTAGCGCGTTGCGGCCGTAAACTGGGTGAAAAAATCTTGAGTAATGAACAAGTTTTAATGAATCATATAAGTAGGTCCAGAGCTTAGATTCCGTAACAAATGAGTATCATAACCTTACAAGTGGTATCCGAACGTCAACACAAAAAGACAAGCTGTATGTTTAGGAGGAGTTGGTTGGAGTAACAATTCGAGCTGGTTGGATTATCCTCATACCTCTTCTAAGGGAGTGTCACTCCAACCACCTCGAATGTCACTCCAACCAGCTCAACCTGAACATACGTTCTAATCCTAATTCGTATATGATGTATGTTGATGCGGACCACCTAGAAGTTTATAAGAATTTATTTTATCTTCCAGAGACCCAGACAGAACTGGTGCTGTATGGCCGGAACAAGGCCTACCTCTAAATTTTTGAAAGTCCAATTAAACTCGGTAACAAAATTTGTTCTTATATAATAATGATCTATCATTTACTTTTGCGTTTTAACTATCTATTACATAGACCATTCCAACTTTTCTAATCTCAGGCAAATTATTTAGTTAAAAGAAAAATACAAGTGAAACTAAAGGAATAAAAAGTTAATCGAACAAAACACAACAAAACATCTAAAACTTAATGAAAAACCCAAAAATGTACCTAAAAACAAGACGTAAGTTGGAAATATATAATTCAAAAAACAAAAGAAACGGAAAATATGCTTATAAAGAAAAAGAAATCAAAACTACTAATAATTGAGAATTCTCACAACTAAAGATGTAGGCTAAGAAACAGTTGAACCCCTGAGATCAATAACGATAACATTTATATTCTCTTTGCTTCCTCTTGCAATTGCAAGTTCTGCTAAGATTACCGCAGCCTTTGTAGAGCTTGATTCACTTTTACATCTGTCAAATTGTTATTTGAAATCATAATTCTTATAGTATTTATATCATATATTCCAAAAATAAAAAAAAAATTTGTGAAAAATTTAAATTAATATATAGTAAGAGTTCTAACCCTTCTGGTACTTTCCCGTAAAGACAACTTTTGACAAGTCGATATGTGTCGTTGTCGGAGACAACATCCCATAGGCCTTCGCATGCAAGTACTATGAAATCATCAATCATTGTTCGCTTGTGGATCTTCAAATTTTGATCTACATCACTCTGTACAAAAATATATTCCGTTATATAATTGAGAAACAAAGAACTTTTTAGTATTATTAAGTGATTCAAATATATTATATCTTAGTATAATTTAACGGCAGAATCAGTTAACATTTGCTTCATATTAGTTTTAGTGAGATGGTATAATAGAGTTAAATACAAGCCACAATAATAAACATTTTACAAAATTAAGGTGGTGGATGTAAGAAAAAAATTAAGGTGGTGCAAAAATAAACACACCAATACCAAAAAAAAAAACTATTATCAAAAGGCAAACTATTACCTGGTGACGATGGATGTGACAAAGAGGCAAAGCGATTCCGCCTTCAGAGTAAAGAACCGCTCTTGCGCCTCCACGGCAAAGTAAAACTACCTCCTCTTTTCCGACAATAGTAACCACCGCTTTGGCTCCAGTAGACCTCACAGTCCCCACGGCTTCCGAAAAACATGATCTCATCACTTTACTCCAGTCTGCCGCAACTCCACGGCCGTGGCATTCCGTTACCTCCTCCTTCACAAGCCGACACAGCCTCTCCTCGAAGAATTTAGCGAGCCTAAGACCGTCAAAAATACCGAAAATATCATAAGAAGGGATCTCGTCGACGACAGTGGACACGGCAGTCGTCATAGCTCTCTGCCGTCCCATGACTGAGACTACCCCGTGGCCGGCGTTTGTTTTTCCGTCTAGATCGTTAGTTGCCACGTCAGCCATTATTGAATCGACAGGGAATTGTGTTGCCTCCGATGTCGACCCTACTTCTCCTAACATATATAGAGGAAAAATTGTATTAGTCAGCATCGTAAAAAATTTGGCATAAATTTGGTATGTTTTTTTTTAAGAAACAACTAGGCTTTGACCCGCGCTTCCGAAGCGCGGGTATTGTATCTTTTTCAAATAAAATAAAATTTACATATGTATGTTTCGATCACATTAATGGATCATATTAAATTAAGAATATTTGATTGTAATAAGCAGTATAGGGAGTTATACTTCTTTATAGAGCGGTATATTTTATAATTTCATTTTTTTATAAATTTAATTTTTAGATATGTGT